CCAGTTTGGCCTAGGAGCTACTTAGGGTCCCCTGGAATTAACTGGAGGATGTTATGGGTCATCTGGGATTCTCTGCTCTCCCAGCTGCTACCACAAACCTAGCTGGACTAAGCAATTAAAGATGATGAATGATTAATTTCTGAACTAATATCTCTTTTCTTATGGAAAGATGTTTGTGAATGACTTACAGGCAGCAGAAATGTTGTAGATAGCTTACATATAACAATGTATATATACATAATTTTTAAAACATAACCAAGAAACTGTTTATTAATGTTTACAAAGTCATTTGGAGGCCTAAAGTTTTTAAAATTCTTTTCATTGGGTTTACAAAAGACTCTTTACTTTAGCAGTCAGGAATATTAGTATTTTTAAAGATGTCTTCTGTAAACACAAACATAAATATTGTCCAATATTAAATAACATCTGAATTTCTGTTTTTACCATCATTACTTCATTATAAATAAATAGAAAGAAGTAGACATATATTAACAAATGTTGACTGTTACTGTTACTTTAATAATGAATAATTTGGATTTGTGAAGCAATAGCTTGTATGTCTGTTTTAAAAAAATGTAAAATTGAACAAATCTTCTTATCTGATTAGTTCTTTATTGGTTAATTACTAAGAACTAATTATAAAATAAAAAAATGTGAAAATATAAAATGAAAGTGAATCAATTTTCTTACCTGATTAATTCCTTATTGCTTAACACTAAGTAAGAACTAATAGATGTCTTATAAAATATTGTTATTGTTATTATTATATCACATTTGTATTACATAAACATCGTGACCCTGAAGATAAGCGGCTTAGAAAGTGCGTATGTGTATTACATAGAGAACACAGCAAAGATTGCTCAGTGTTGCTGTTACACACTGTCACACCTCGGACGGATTCGGACTACGTTTCCCAGAAGGACCTGGGAGATCACGTGAATGAGCAACTTCTCTCGGACTCGGAGTCCAGAGCGGACTCCATTGCCCATAATCCCTTGGGTGATCACATGACCCATGACAATCGTTCACGCACCTGTCAACATTCCCAATCACCTGAATATTGACTAAGAACACCTGTGTTTTGAATCATATGACTCTCTTAGAATAGTATATCAGCCCGGGCTTTAGTTAGGGTACTTTGCGAGGTACTGATTCTCCGGAACTTACTGAGCGGTTTTTCTGATCTGTTTATGAGGGATTGTTTTCGACCCACGTTTGTTATATCGACCTTGATTTTTGCTTACTCCTTTTGTACCTTTGCTGATTCTGTATTGGATTTGTGTTTTGACCTTTCTGCCTGCCTTTTTGATGACGATTTTTGACTTTCCCCTTGGTTTTGTCTGCCCTGTGTTATGATCACTTCGGTGATCTTCAGCTGCCTTTTGATCAAGACACACGCTTGTTTTTCAACCCCGCTTGTGTCACCTGATAATAAAACATTGTTTGTATTTTTTCATCCGAGAGCGTCTGAATTCTGTTGCCTTGTCAAATACACATTGTGGTCCAGATGGCAGTAGAGTATTTCTGACACAGAGCAGCACAGAATCAATGACATGAACATGAATATTCAACAGTGGATTCATACATATTCATTTACTGACAGTCTAAACCCGAGGACAATTCTGGTGCTGAAATACTCTCAAAGCAGTACTGTACTCAGCGCTGCTACTCTGAGAAGCTTTGTGAATACGTGCATTGATCTTCTTGTCGTCCAGGAGAGTCTACAGAGATATTAAGGAGATCTCTCTTTTGACTTTTCTTTCTGATGAGTACTTTCAAATACAGTGACTGAAATTGACACATATACACAGCAGTACAGTTAAACAGTGGTGGACACACTTAAACAGGCTAAATGAAGCTGCTTCAAAACAATTCAAAGCCACTATTTATTACTGCAGTGAATTTAATTGTAAGCAGTTAAAAGCAGTTTAACTGCCACTTTGCTCACACATTCTTTACACATCATCATGCTGACAGATTTTCAGCTGTCTTTCACAGTGTCAAAAAGGAAGTGGGCATGTTAGATTCTGCTTAACATGCAGCTGAAGATGCAGCACAGTGACAGAGTCACACAGACACAGAAACAGAGTGTAACTTTCAATAAGTCTGATTGTCTGAGTTGATGTTGATCTGTGAGTCTGAACTCAGAATGAAGATCCTCCCCATCTTCACCCTCTTCCTGATTTCAGGTAAGGAGATGCTCTTCTAAATAATCATCGCTATCAGCAGAGTCAAATGAAGCCTTTACTCAGATGTGGACCTCTTTTAGTATGTGGATGAGAATCAGAGAGAGTGATGGGATATTCAGGAGGAGGAGTTCTCATCATGTGTAGATATGACAAAACACACAAAATATTTCTGTAAGGATTCATGGTTAAACTGTGGTGACCAAATCAGGACAGGAGTTAAAAATGAGTGGATAAATAGAGGAAGATTCTCACTGTTTGATGACACCAGAGCTGCACAGTTCTGGGTGTTGATCAGGGAGCTCACTGTAGAGGATTCTGGAACGTACCAGTGTGAAGTTTGTAAATCTGGCATTGACATCCACACACCAGTTGAACTGAATGTAGAGGAAGGTGAGTCTCTCCCACCACTAAACCTGTTTAATATCTTAAACATCCAGCATCATTAACATCAGACTCTGAGCATTAACAGTGTTCCATGTAACACTGCACACAAACACATATCCATTTTAACAGTGTTATCAAAGACTCGCTCTCTCCAGAGACTCTTTATCAGACCTTCTTATGTCTAATTGGATGAATCCTGTTTAACCCCAGCTGTGCTGACTGTGTGATTGTCAGATTGTGTTTATAGTTCTTGCCATTTGTTAAATGTACATTGTGAGACCTTCACTATGATGTTAGCCCATCTCGCCTCTAAAGTTATTTATACTGTTTCTGTAAACTCTGAATATGGACTTCCTCTACATCCATGTGTTAAGCTGTAGAGTAACTATAGACAAACTTCCTGACTCAACATCCTTTTACTCATAAATATAATCTGAAAATACTTTCAGAATAAGAGTGTGGTCTACAGGGAAGTGACTGGATATGCACAGTTAGGAGTCATAATGAACTAGTAAAACTCAAATATACCTGTAGAGTCAGAACAAATTAGTGGTATTTTGTGTGAACTGTGTAGGTGAGTGTGATAGTTTTCATCTGTTTATGATTGACAGATCAAGAGTATGAGAAGAGCATCAGTGTGATTGGCCATGTAAGAGGAAGTGTGAACATCAGCTGCAAATACCCACAATCCCACAGCAGTGACCCCATGTTTCTCTGTAGGAGAGTGGGCACTGCTGACTGTAGTTATGAAACATCTGTTAAAGAGAGCAGAAGATGGATAAATGAGGGAAAACTGTATCTACATGATGATGGAAAGCAGATCTTCACTGTGATCATCAACAATCTGACTGAGGGAGACTCTGAATACTGGTGTGGAGCTGAATCAGACTGGACATCTGACCATTGATACAAGGTTTATATCACACAGATCAACCTCAGAGTTACTGGTGAGTAGATATGAATTCAATTAATTTATTTACATTCAGAAACTTTCTTCTTCATATTTATGGAACTCAGAGGCTTGTAGTGTAAGGACTTAGGATTTAAGTTTTATGATTTAGCCTGCAGTCTAAGGTAAATCTAATGAAAGCGGTTTGATTCAAAATGTGAAGTTGAAAACATATTGTGTGAATCTTCACACACACATAAGACAGGAGTATCCAATCTTATCCACAAATCCTTCTGACACAGAGCAGAACAGAATCAATGACGTGAACATGAATATTCAACAGTGGATTCATACATATTCATTCACTAACAGCCAATTTGGAGAAACCAGGGGACAGTTTTACTGATCAAATGCTGCTCTTTGATGATACCTGGAACCCCTCCTTCTTCCAATCCAATGCCCTATAAATTCACATCAAAGCCTTTGGTTCCCATGAAGAAGTGTTTGCAATCTTCACCACCACCCCATCTCCTCCCTGTTCCTCAATCCTACATCAGTCCTACTGCAGCTACAAGGGGGGTCTGGCCTTCCAGCTACAGACAGAAGCTTCCCAGATCTCCAGCCCAAATTTTCAGAGTTCTCCCCCTCCCTCAGTCAGTCTTCCCTCATACTACCATCAGGTCTGAGCTCACAAGCAAGAAATGTAAATCAAATGGACAGATTCATGCACAAGAGCTGAGTTAAAAGTGGTTACACACTGCAACAGACTAAGGGCTGCTGAGTGAATATGGATCTGCATCCCTGCATTGGTTTGTTTAGTTGAAATATGAATAAAAACATGCTTCCTGCCTCAACATAATTCTTCTTAGAAATATGGTCTTAAAATATTAAAATACTTACATGAAAGAGTTATCTGTTGCTTTTGTAGGTCTTCACTGTAATAGGCCTTTACTGAGAGCACTGGGTAGGGTTCAGTGACTTTCCACAGCAGTTCTGCCTTCATTGAGTGTGTCTGTGTAAGATTGGTGGGCAGATCTGTGTTGTTATGAGTTCTGATCATGTTTATATTGAGGACACTGGGGCGAGTGGTCATTTATACTGCAGTACAGTACAGCTGTCTTTCTAAGTGCTGCACTCTAGATGGCACTAGTGATGTCCTTTTTCAGACCAGATCACAAACGACATCACAGCACTGCTGTCCTGTATTAGAACTGAACATATAATTATATTTAGATGTGAGTTGAGGGCCTCATTAGAGAACTTTCAAGAAACAGAAGTCAAACAGAGATGATTGACTTACAGCACAATGAAGTGGTAAAGAATTCTGGTGAACTCTGTAGTTTGTCACACAGTCATGGACCAAACAAAGCAAATCAAAGTGAGCTCTCAGTAAATGTAGCAACAAAAATGGTTTGAAAAACATAACTTCAAAGTTTAATGATGACTGTTGCTGTTGTGTTTGACTGTTACAGCAGGAAGAGAAGAAAATGTTCACGCTTTCTCTCATCGGGTGCTGAAGGGAAATGGGCGGGTTTATCATTCTGGTCAGTTGAACCACAAGCAGAAGAATAGATTCAGACACAGCTCAGACAGAGAAACACAAAAACAGAGATGAGGATCTAAAGACATGAACATCTAATACGCTTTTAAAGTGGAGCCGGAGGTAATATGGATAAAGCTGGAATGACTGAGAAGATCCTCCTCATCTTCACCCTCTTCCTGATTTCAGGTAAGGAGATGCTCTTCTAAATAATCATCACTATCAGCAGAGTCAAATGAAGCCTTTACTCAGATGGACATTTGTCCTCTTTTAGTAGGTGGAGGAGAATCAGAGGGAGTGACAGGATATTCAGGAGGAGGAGTCCTCATCAAGTGTAGATACGAGAGAAAATACACATCAAACCAGAAATATTTCTGTAAGGGTTCATGGTTAAACCGTACTGACCAGATCAGGACAGGAGTTAAAGATGAGTGGATAAATAGTGGAAGATTCTCACTGTTTCATAACACCAGCACTGCAGAGTTCCAGGTGTTGATCAGAGAGCTCACTGTAGAGGATTCTGGATGGTACCAGTGTGGAGCTGAAAAAGCTTTGAACACACCAGTGGAACTGAATGTACAGGAAGGTGAGTCTCTCCCATCACTGCACCTATTTATTATCCTAAACTTCCTGCATCATTAGCATCAGCTGCAGTGAGGATGACTGTACAAACTCTCATAAAGGACAAAATGTGGGAATTATGTCCTACATGGCTGAGTAAGAAGACACCTGCATACTTCAAAGACGTTATCTCTCTCTTCAGAGACTCCTTGCCAGTCCTCCTCATCTCTGATTGGATAAGTCCTGTTTAACCCCAGCTGTAGAAATGCATTTGTTTAGTTTCTCATGTGCAAGAATGACTGTATGTTTATTAGATTGTACATTCAGTACTTGATATTGATCATAAGTACTTTTTGCGATGTTTGCAGATCCAGCCTCATGTTTCCCTAATTCTCCCAGATCTCAAAACTTATTAGTGTCTAGTTTTCATTACTCAAATACATATTAGAAATGATTTAGTGTATTTCTAGAACCTCTGAATATGGACTTCCCCTGCATTCATTAATACAAATATACAGATAGTTACAGAAGAAGGGTTTGGCCTGCAGAGAAGTGGCAGAATATGCAGAGGGAGGAGTCGTAATCAAATGCAGATATGAGGGCTAATAAAACACACATATGTCTGTAAAATAAGAAGAAAAATCAGTGATATTTTGTACATAATGTGTAGGTGAGTTTAAGCGTTTTCAATTGATTGTTTATGATTCACAGATCTGTCCTATGAGAAGAACATCAGTGTGACTGGCCATGTAGGAGGAAGTGTGAACATCAGCTGCATATACCCACAATCCCTCAAGAATGACCCCAAGTTTCTCTGTAGGAGAGTGGGCACTGCTGACTGTAAATATAAAACATCCATTAAAGAGAACAGAAAATGGATAAATGAGGGAAAACTGTATCTACATGATGATGGAAAGCAGATCTTCACTGTGATCATCAACAGTCTGACTGAGGGAGACTCTGGTGAATACTGGTGTGGAGCTGAATCAGACTGGACATCTGACCATGGATACAGGGTTTATATCACACAGATCAACCTCAGAGTTACTGGTGAGTAGATATGAATTCAATTAATCTGATTATGTACAGAAACCTTTCTTCTATATCTTTATGGAGTTATATGTAAGAACTGTACAGTATAATAATTTGAGATTTTATCATTGAATTTCAGGGAGTCTGCAGTCTGGAAAAGGTGAGTCCAGTAAAAGCAGTTTGATTCACAATCTGTTCAAAAACATTTTGTTTGTATCCTAAAATGTACACAAAACAAGTACAACAAAATGTATAGGTGAAATTGATATTAACACTTAATGTACAAATAAAGACCCTCTGCTCTTCTATTGTTAGTTTGATCACTTTTAAATGATCAGATTATTGTTTGTTTCTCATTCTCTAATTTCCAGTTTCATCTATGATCACTGGTGGCTTTGTGATTCAGCTACTTCTGATTGGATTATTATTCTTCATGGTGACTTTTAGAAAGAGAAGCAAGACTCAAGGTACCATCACACAGAGAAACATGCACATACAATCACTGGATACTAATAACAATGCACACATTCTTATTTGGGCAACTAATTCAACATAGAAAATGATCAAAGGAAAGATTCCAGTCCTGTGGTTTAGGGCTGGTTAATGACAAATGACATTCAGTCACTGGACGTATTACTGGTTTCCCCAAAACACTTAACAAGGAACTTTCAGATCTGATTGTTCAGATGTGATACGGCATGGGTCATTAAAAACGTTTATTGGAGACCAAAAAAAAAAATCACTAGGCCTCAGTGGACTAACAGTGATGGACAGATGCTGCCCTCTGCTGACTAAATAAACATGCATCAAATCAAACGGAATAAGAAAAGACTGTTAACACATCCACTACATTATATAACATTTAATATTGAACATGGTGTTTTTCCAATTCTTAATGTTTGACTGATTTGAAATTATGATGTATTTCCTCCTCAGACCCAGGCAGAATCCACAGCCAATCACTTAGAGATCACTGTGTGAGTCGAGATTGTATTTCAAAGCTGGTTCTCACTGGAACAGATATACACCAATATAATGTGTAATAATGAACTGATAATAACTGAAATATTGATCTTACTCACTTACACAAAAAACAGAAGATTAAACTAAACATTTAACCAGCTCTAATTTTTATAATTGTTTTTTTCTCTCTGTTCTTAGATTTCCGTAGTTGTATATGAGGCAATTAAAGACAATAGACTCCTTCTTACTTCAGATGCTGGAGATTCCATAGTCTGCTCAGCTGCTCACCTTCCTACAAACCCCTGAGAACCTTTTCAAACTGTTGATGATAATGTCCAGTTACCCTCAAGCTATGATTTCTCAAATCTTGTTTAATCAACTCCTCAGTTACCATCAAACTCTCCTGATCAGGTCATCTACTCCACAGCTCAGTTACCCACAATTCTCTCTGATTTCTCAGTGAGTGTCACTCAGCATTCAGCTGGAAAATCTGTTGAAGGTCCAACATATGTAACAGTGAATTTCAGCAAGAAAGCAGATAGTTCTACTGATGCTGTTACCACGGCAACAAAAAGGATACGGATTCCTGACTGTTACAGTCAGACGTTAGCAGTAGCAGCTAAGTTTTCATGTTAAACTTGTATTTTCATGAATTTCCACCATAACATGAAGGCATGTTCACTTTCACACAAAGAGACTTTCACTTCTGGAAGTGTGTAATTCTGGTACAGATTATGTTGTTTTATGTGGTGCATCAAGTGTTTCAAAATCCATAGTTATAGAACAGAAATGAGCCATCAATCATGTTTTTGTGCGCAGATTAATAAGTGGGCTCATATTTGTTTTCAACATTGTAGTTATTTTGTTTGTTGTGTTATATTATGTGATGTAAATCTGCACAACTGTAATTTTATTTTTACTCAGGAAAGTATTTTTTAAGGAAACTGTTTGCTCTCTTTATTTATTTGTAATTTAAAGTTTGAAAATCTGTACACATTTTATCAAATGTCTTCTCTTAAAATATTCGTAAATGTTTTAACAGCAAAAACGATGCCATCCGTCATAAAAATAGCAGGAAACATGGAAATGTGGATACATTAACATGCATGTTTTTTTTTCAATATTTATGGATTAAAAATGAATGATTGTTGTTTCTTTACATGTCCTATAATTTACTAAAGTTCTGATCAGGAACTGATACAGATTGAAATATTTGAACATACTCTTTGCCTTCCTCATCTCTCTTCAAATACCTCAACTGAAAAAAAGCATTATTTGTGCACTGTAAAACAGGAACTGGTATTTCCAGATTAGAAGAACACATGATGTTCACAGCCTCTCTTAGGCTTTATTCACTTGTGGATAGAATGGAGTTCTCACTCCTATACACTTCCCACCTTTATCCTCTAGATGGCAGTACAGTCTTAAAAATAAAGGTGCCAACAAGGGTTCCAACAAGTGTCCAAGTGTGAAAAAAGTGTGAAATGACTAAAGACATGCTTCCTGTCTTAACATCATTCTTCTCGGAAATATGGTCTTAAAATCCTCTCAGAGCTAAAATATTAAAATACTTACATTAAGGAGTTTCTGCTTTTGTAGCTCTTCACTGTGATGGACCCTTATTGATAGGGTTCAGTGAGTTTCCACAGCAGTTCTGCCTCCATTGAGTGTGTATGAGTATGATTGGTGGGCAGATCTGTGTTGTTTTGATCATGTTTATACTGAGGACACTGGGGCGAGTGGTCATTCATACTGCAGTACAGTACAGCTGTCTTTCTATGTGCTGCACTATAGATGGCACTAGTGATGTCCTTTTTCAGACCAGATCACAAACGACATCACAGCACTGCTGTTCTGTATTAGAGCTAAACATATAATTATATTTAGACATGAGTTGAGGGCCTCATTAGAGAACTTTCAAGAAACAGAAGTCAAACAGAGATGATTGACTTACAGCACAATGAAGTGGTAAAGAATTCTGGTGAACTCTGTAGTTTGTCACACAGTCATAGACCAAACAAAGCAAATCAAAGTGAGCTCTCAGTAAATGTAGCAACAAAAATGGTTTGAAAAACATAACTTCAAAGTTTAATGATGACTGTTGCTGTTGTGTTTGACTGTTACAGCAGGAAGAGAAGAAATTGTTCACGCTTTCTCTCATCGGGTGCTGAAGGGAAATGGGCGGGTTTATCATTCTGGTCAGTTGAACCACAAGCAGAAGAATAGATTCAGACACAGCTCAGACAGAGAAACACAAAAACAGAGATGAGGATCTAAAGACATGAACATCTAATACACTTTTAAAGTGGAGCTGGAGGTAATATGGATAAAGCTGGAATGACTGTGAAGATCCTCCTCATCTTCTCCCTCTTCCTGATTTCAGGTAAGGAGATGCTCTTCTAAATAATCATCACTATCAGCAGAGTCAAATGAAGCCTTTACTCAGACGGACATTTGTCCTCTTTTAGTAGGTGGAGGAGAATCAGAGGGAGTGACAGGATATTCAGGAGGAGGAGTCCTCATCAAGTGCAGATATGAGACAAGAGATACATCAATAAAAAAATATTTCTGTAGAGGTTCATGGTTAAACCGTACTGACCAGATCAGGACAGGAGTTAAAAATGAGTGGATAAATAGAGGAAGATTCTCACTGTTTCATAACACCAGCACTGCAGTGTTCCAGGTGTTGATCAGAGAGCTCACTGTAGAGGATTCTGGACTGTACCAGTGTGGAGCTGAAAAGGATTTGAACACACCAGTGGAACTGAATGTACAGGAAGGTGAGTCTCTCCCATCACTGCACCTGTTTATTATCCTAAACTTCCTGCATCATTAGCATCAGCTGCAGTGAGGATGACTGTACAAACTCTCATAAAGGACAAAATGTGGGAATTATGTTCTATATGGCTGAGTAAGAAGATACCTGCATACTTCAAAGACGTTATCTCTCTCTTCAGAGACTCCTTGCCAGTCCTCCTCATCTCTGATTGGATAAGTCCTGTTTAACACCAGCTGTAGAAATGCATTTGTTTAGTTTATCATATGTAATAATGACTGTATGTTTATTAGATTGTACATTCAGTACTTGATATTGATCATAAGTACTTTTTGCGATGTTTGCAGATCCAGCCTCATGTTTCCCTAATTCTCCCAGATCTCAAAACTGATTAGGGTCTAGTTTTAATTAAATACATATTAGAAATGATTTAGTGTATTTCTAGAAACTCTGAATATGGACTTCCCCTGCATTCATTAATACAAATATACAGATAGTTACAGAAGAAGGGTTTGGCCTGCAGAGAAGTGGCAGAATATGCAGAGAGAGGAGTCGTAATCAAATGCAGATATGAGGGCTAATAAAACATACATATGTCTGTAAAAAAAGAAGAAAAATCAGTGATATTTTGTACATAATGTGTAGGTGAGTTTAAGCGTTTTCAACTGATTGTTTATGACTGACAGATCTGTCCTATGAGAAGAGTATCAGTGTGACTGGCCATGTAGGAGGAAGTGTGAACATCAGCTGCAAATACCCACAATCCCTCAAGAATGACCCCAAGTTTCTCTGTAGGAGAGTGGACACTGCTGACTGTAAATATAAAACATCCGTTAAAGAGAGCAGAAGATGGATAACACAGGGAAATCTGTATCTACATAATGATGGAGAGCAGATCTTCACTGTGAGCTTCAATAATATGAATGTGGGAAACTCTGGTGAATACTGGTGTGGAGCTGAATCAGACTGGACATCTGACCATGGATACAAGGTTTATATCACACAGATCAACCTCAGAGTTACTGGTGAGTAGATATGAATTAAACTAATCCGTTTACATTCAGACACTTTTGTCTATATATTTTATCATTTTAAGGTAAGATGTGTGCAGTATTATAATTTAAGATTCTGTCGTTGAATTTCATTGAGTCTGCAGTCTGGAAAACATCCGTCTAATGAAAGCGGTTTGATTTAAAGTCTGTTTAAAACATTTTATTTGTATCCTGAAATATACACAAAACAACTACAACAAAATGCATTAATAACTATTTTGAATGTAGTTTGTTACATATAACTTACTTATTAACAAAAAAGGACAGTTTTATGACAATATGAGGTGACATCTGAAAAGCCTTTTTTCCATCATTTCCTTTAACAAAACATCCAGCAACATCATCACCATCAGGCTCAACTCCACAGAGCACAGAAACAACCTCCTCTACAACTACAATGAGTCCCTCATTTAAGACTTCAACATGTATCATATTCATACTGTATATATTCTGGTAAACTATAGTCAGTTAGCAACAATGACGTCTACACAGTTAAACAAACTGACATTTTCCTCCAGGTCCAGATGTTCTATCACAATCATCAACACACATCAGGTCATCACTCACAAAACCAACCACATCCTCAACGCATCAACCCCCATCACCTCCACTTTCTGCCACAGATATTAACACTTAATGTACAAATAAAGTCCCTCTGCTCTTCTATTGTTAGTTTGATCACTTTTAAATGATCAGATTATTGTTTGTATCTGATTCTCTAATTTAGATTCTCCACCTCCAACATTTCCAGTTTCCTCTGTGGTCACTGGTGTGTCTGTGATTCTGCTGCTGCTTCTGATTGGGCTCTTATTCTTCATAGTAACTCTTAGAAAGAGAAGCAAGACTCAAGGTACCATCACACAGAAACATATACACAGAATGGATACTTACATGCACACATTGTGATTTGGCTTATTAACTTCATCATAGGAAACAATGTTCAGTGAAGACAATTCCAGTCCTGTGGTTTTGGGCTGATTAATGACAAATTCCATTCAGTCTCTGGACGTATTATTGGTTTATCCCAAACACTTCTTACAGAGGATTTTCCGATCATTATGTTCAGAAGTGAGTGCAGCATGAGTCATTAAACACATTCATCAGGCCTCAAATTCACTAGGCCTCAGTGGACTAACAGTGATGGACAGATGCTGCCCTCTGCTGGCTATAAATGAACATGCATCCAAACAGATAGAGCAAGAACAGGCTACATTATATGTCATTTACTATTGAGTATAATGTCTTTACCAATTCTTAATGTATGGCTGATTTAAAATTATGAATTTTTTCTTCCTCCTCAGGTCCAGCCTCAACCCAAAGCCAATCACAAAGAGGCTCCTCAGACAACCACACAGTGAGTCATGATTGTATTTCAAAGCATCTTCTCATTGTAACAGATATGAACTAATGACATATTTAATAATGAACTGTCTATAACTGAAATTTTGATCTAACTGACATAAAAATGGGAAACTGACCACTAGTCTAACTGCTAAAGAGTAGAATAGTTGAAATCACTTCAATTGAAATTGACCAGCTCTAGTTTCCAGTGTTGTTATATTTAATCTCTGCTTCTTAGGTTTCCCGTGATGTCTGTGTCTACGAGGAGATTAATGACATTTCGTCCTCAGATGCTGGAGCTTCTACAGTCAACTCTACTGCTGAACCACCTACAAACCCCTCAGAACCTCCTCAAAGTGTTCCAACATACGCAACAGTGAATTTCAGCCAGAATGCAGATAGTTCTACTGATGCTGTTACCATGGCAACCTTTAACAAGGAGAACGACTCATGTGACTATGCTACAGTCAAATGTTAGTGGAAGCAGTTTTCATGTTACACTTGTATTATCATCCATTTTCTATTCTTTTATTTCTAGAATTGTGTAAATGTGTTAATTGTTATTGTGGTCAACCCCTTAAATGTCCATGGCCCACCGACAGGCCCAGAGAATAGATCAGCTAGTTTGCATTGAAGATCCTGTAGTTACTATATAATAAGCCATAGTGTGTAATAAGCCTTGGATTTTAAGTGGTTAATATGGTGCATGAGGTGTTTTTTTGCAATTGGTGAAAAATGCAGTTGTGTTGTGTGATTTGTTGTTTTATATGTATGTGATGTAAGCATGCACAGCTATAGTTTATTTTTGCTCATTTAGTAAGAGTACTCTAAATGTCCAAAAGTTTGTGGACACTCTTTCTTATTAGTGAATTTGGTTGCACTCACTGCTGATGCAGGAGTTCAAATGCACACACAGCTTGTATAATCTCCATAGAAAAGCACTGACCAATAGAACGGGATGCTCTGGAGCAGGCGCACAGGTCACAATGTTTAAGGCCAAGCATTGGCTAGAGGGGTATAAAGCCTCCCAGCATTGAGCTGTGAGCAGAGCTGTGTTCCCTGGAGTGATGTAGCTCCATCCAATACCTTTGGGATGAGTTGAAGTGATCCAGAACTGATCATCAAAGATCAATACCTATCTGATCTCACTCTCAGTGCTCCCACTGCTAAATGCAATCAAATCCTCACAGCAATATTACAGTATATAGTGTAAAGCCTTCCCCAAAGAGTAGCAACACACTTACTGCAGTAGAGGGGGAGAAAGTCCTTTTTAATACTCTTATTTTTGAAAGAAACATTGGATGAGCATGTGTCCACAAACCTTTGGCCATATAGTGTATTTCTGAAGAAAACTGTTTCATTTGTTCATGTATAGACTATTTGTTACATCGACCACAACATTATTAAATTGAATTACTCAGTAAAACTGCTATGAAACAAATATGTAAGTTATATAGTTACAAGACTGAATCAGAACTTTATTACAGGCTTATTAATGTAAATATATTGTACATTCCATTGAGCTTCTCTAGAGTGTGTAATAAATAAATTGTGTAACATTACTCAGAAGGGTAATTAAATATTTTAACACTGTTATAGATATGACTGTTTTATCTTCCCTGCTGATTTATTCAGCTACCCTTAAACACATTTCAAAGCAGTGTAGACCATGAATAATGGATTATACATAGTTTTTACATAGCAGTATAAAGTGGTTGCTTTCATTTCCTGCTTCAGAATAATTATGGATGTCTTTCCAGATTACAGCTCATTGTATTCACAGCTTTCTCAACCAGTTTTATGAAATTGATATACTGAAATGGAGAACACTGAGGAGTTTGCTTGCTCTGTGGTCATTTTGTTCTTAGCAATAATAAACTGAGAAAACAATGTTATTGGTAATGACTATAAAAAGTCTTATAAACTGTAAGCAATGCTTCCAAGGTAAAGTAGGCCGAAGGAAAAATAACTTTGCAGCACTGTTGGGTGAGAGCATAGAGAGAAAGCTGGGTAATATATGTGCAGCGAATTGAGTCTGGGCATTAGAGATTGTTTTTTCTCAGAGCAGTACCATAAACTTCTACTATTCATCCTAAACCTTCTTTGTATGTACTGAACTAAGTGTGTATCTTATGAAAATAACAGCAGTGTTCACTCATGCTAGAACTGTCCTTCTCACCCTGTGCTCTAGATGGCAGTAGAGGCCGTCTGTCACAGACTCAATGACATGAACATACATCAAGGAAGGGAGTGTAATTTAGATATTCAAGTAGTGGAATGGCTTGGGGGGGCAAATGCTACGGAAGCTGCTTTGACTCGACTCAGTCCCACTGATTGTTAAATTAAATATCATGACTTCAAAGCATTTTGACTCTTCCACTAACCAACCAGATGCAGTTTACCAGACTGCTTAACTATCCAGTCAGATTCAGTCTTCCAGACTCAAGCAAATCTGAGCACAGTGTGACTTTATTGAGATCTCTACTAAAACTCAAGAGGAGACGCAGGTGAGATTACTGGGCTCTTCTTCTCAGGAGAAACATCTGAGCAGCAGGAGCGACATAAACAAAAGTCTTTGTCTTTCCATCAGGGGGCGTCTTCACAAACTCTCCCACAGTATTACTGCTGATCCAGGATCAGATTTCTGTCTTATTTACAGGTGCTTTATTAAGAGGAACAGATCCTAGATCAGTGCTTCTACTCTGAGAGGCTTTGTGAATATGAGCTTTGATCTCATTGTTGTCCAGGAGACACTACAGAGATATTAAGGAGATTTAATTTGACTTTTCTTTCTGAGGAGTACTTTCAAATACAGTGACTGAAATGGACACTAATACACAGCAGTACAGTCAAACAGTGGTGGAGACACTGAAACACGCTAAAGGAAGCTGCTTCAACACAATTCAAAGTCACTATTGATTTTACTGCAGTGCATTTTATTGTAAGCAGTTAAAAGCATTTTAACTGCCACTTTGCTCACACATTCTTCACACATCATCATGCTGAAAGATGTTCAGCTGTCTTTCACAGTGTCAAAAAGGAAGTGGGCACATTAGATTCTGCTTAACATGCAGCTGAAAATACAGCAGACAGGGTGTAAGTTTCAGCATCAGCTTGTCTGAGTTGATGTTGATCTGTGAGCCTGAACTCAGAATGAAGATCCTCCTCATCTTCACCCTCTTCCTGATTTCAGGTAAGGAGATGCTCTTCTAAATAATCATCACCATCAGCAGAGTCAAATGAAGCCTTTACTTTGATGGACGTTTGTCCTCTTTTAGTAGGTGGAGGAGAATCAGAGAGCGTGACAGGATATTCAGGAGGAGGAGTCCTCATCAAGTGTAATATAAGACAAACTTCACATCAAACCAGAAATATTTCTGTAAGGATTCATGGTTAAACTGTGCTGACCAGATCATGACAGGAGTTAAAACATGAGTGGATAAATAGAGGAAGATTCTCACTGTTTGATAAAACCAGAGCTGCAGAGTTCTGGGTGTTGATCAGAGAGCTCACTGTAGAGGATTCTGGAACGTGGAAGTGTGCAGTTCAGAAATATTTGGACTTTGACAGCTACGACAAAGTGGAACTGAAAGTACAGGAAGGTGAGTCTCTCCCACCAATAAACCTGTTTATTTTCTTAAACATCCAGCATCATTAACATCATAGCTACAGTCAGGATGAATGTACAAACTCTCATAAAGGACAAACATCATAACATCATTAACAGTGTTCCATGTAACACTGTACACAAACACATATTCATTTTAACAGTGTTATCAAAGACTCAGTCTCTTCAGAGACTCTTTATCAGACCTTCTCATCTCTGATTGGGTGAATCCTCTTTAACCCCAGCTGTGAAAATGTGTTTACATACAGTAGTTGTTCATATGTGATGATGATGGTGTGATTATCAGATTGTGTTTATAGTTCTTGCCATTTGTTAAATGTACATTGTGAGACCTTCACTATGATGTTAGCAGATCTCGTCTATAATTTAAAGTTATTTATACTGTTTCTATCAAATCTGAATATGGACTTCCTCTACATTCATGTGTTAAGCTGTAGTGTGACTATAGACAAACTTCCTGGCTCAACATCCTTTTACTCATAAATATAATCTGAGAATACTTTCAGAAAAAGAGTGTGGCCTACAGGGAAGTGACAGAATATGGAAGAATGAGTCATAATGAAGTGCATAAATAAGGACTAGTAAAACTCAAATATGACCTGTAATGTCAGAACAAATCAGTAGTATTTTGTATAAACTGTGAAGGTGAGTGTGAGAGTTTTCATTTAATTGTTTATGATGACAGATCAAGACTATGAGAAGAGCATCAGTGTGGTTGGCCATGTAAGAGGAAGTGTGAACATCAGCTGCAAATACCCACAATCCCACAGCAGGGACCCCAGGTTTCTCTGTAGGAGAGCACTTTAAAAAATGAGCATTTCTTTACTTAATTTAATTAAGTACATTGAATTTAATGTTTACAAAAAATAAAGCCCCTGAAGGGAGGTAGTGTATTTTTTTAAAGTAAAAATTGGGTGTAAAGTAATGGGGTGATACTATGTGGGGAGCACCCAATACTATGTGGTGAGCACCCAATACTATCAGGTGAGCACCAGACTATGTTGTGAGCACTACATACTACTAGGTATACACCTGTCATGTTTCAGTTATCTTTCTCTGGCATCATTTGCTTCAAGTTTTGTTTGCAGTTTTAAACCAATCAGTTCACACCTACATCCTTGACAGTGGTCTGGTCATCTGTGGATGGACAGCAGTGTTTATAAAAAATAAATCTTCTATTCTAGAGTTTAATGTTTACCAAATCACATAGATGCCTGAAGTTTTAAGCATTCCTATTATTGGGGCTTTTTTTAAAAAAAGACACATTACATTAGCAACAAAGATTATTATTATCGTTAATGTCATTTTAAAATACTCACATAATATATTCTGTTACCGTGGATAATATCTGAATTTCTGATTTTGTAATCATTATATAATTATAATACACAAGAAAAGTAGACACATATAGTTATAGACTGTTACTTATAGGCTAATCAATATAATAATAGAATCATACTAACAAATCAAGTTGTAAACAGTAGGAGCTAATTATTTCATTGTGAAGTAACGTCTTATATGTCTGTTGTGAAATAAAGTGAATATATTATGTAATGATGATGAACTCTAAATAACAGAGTAATTAATTTTTAGCTGAATATGAAGTAAGAGCTAATAGATGTATTATAAACTATTGTTTATTAAGTGTTTTTCCTCTGTCTTTAATCCCATTTGTATCACATAGAGAACAGCAGATTGCTCAGTGCTGCTGTTACACACATTGTGCTCTAGATGGCAGTAGAGTCCTTCCGACACAGACCATTACAAAATCAATGAACATGAATATTCAACAGTGCAGTAACACAGATCTATTGACTTACAACTAAACTGGATTTTTTAAATGGGTGCTTGCAAGTAAAGAAACTGAAATGGGACACTCAGACAGAGCAGTACAGTTAAATAGTGGTGAAACAGGATAAACACTAATGAATAAACAACATGAAGCTGCTTCAACACAACTCAAAGACACTGTTTATTTAACTGCAGTGAATTTTATTATAAGCATTTAAAAGCATTTTAATTGCCACTTTGCTGATACATACTTTACACATCACCATGCTGAGAGATTTTCAGCTGTGTCTTTCAGAGAGTCAAAAAGGAAGTGGGCAGGTTATTTGTTTCTGTTTTAGATGCAGCTGAGGACACAGAACAGAGTCAGACAGAGTTGAAGTGCATGTCTCAGGTCCTCTGATATCTGTCTGAGCTGGTGTTAGTCTGTGAATCTGAACTCAGAATGAAGATCCTGATCTTCACCCTCTTCCTGATTTCAGGTAAGGAGATGCTCTTCTAAACAATCATCACTATCAGCAGAGTCAAATGAAGCCTTTACTCAGATGGACATTTGTCCTCTTTTAGTAGGTGGAGGAGAATCAGAGAGAGTGACAGGATATTCAGGAGGAGGAGTCCTCATCAAGTGTACATACGACACAGAATACACATCAAACCGAAAATATCTCTGTAAGGATGCATTGCTCTGTCTGTCTTATAAAATTGGGACCGATACTAAAAATGAGTGGATACATAGTGGAAGATTCTCACTGTTTGATGACACCAGAGCTGCACAGTTCTGGGTGTTGATCAGAGAGCTCACTGTAGAGGATTCTGTAACGTACAAGTGTGGAGTTGATAAATCTGGCTTTGACATCTACACACCAGTGAAACTGAAGGTAGAGGAAGGTGAGTCTCTCCCACCCCTACACCTGTTTATTTTCTTAAACATTTAGCATCATTAGCATCAGCTACAGTGAGGGTGAATTTACAAACTCCCATAAAGAACAAAGAGCATAAAGCACGTTCCATATTGCCCTGTACACAAACACATACTTATTATATTAACAGTATTATCACAGACTCAGTCTCTTTCAGAGACTCATCATCAGACCTTCTCATCTCTGATTGGGTGAATCCTCTTAAACCTCAGCTGCGAAAATGTGTTTATAAACAGTAGTTGTTCATATGTGATGATGACTGTGTGATTATCAGATTGTGTTTACAGTGCTTGGCATTTGTTAAATGGATGTTGTGTGACCTTCACTATGATGTTAGCAGATCGCATCTCTAGTTCAAAGTTATTTTGTCTATTTAGATCATCTCTGAATATGGACTTCCTCTGAATTCATGTGCTAAGCTGTAGTGGGACTATAGACAAACTTCCTGACTCAACATCCTTTTACTCATAAATATAATCTGAGAATACTTTCAGTCAAAAGAATATGCAGTGAGGAGTTCAGTGATATTGTGTATAAACTGTGAAGGTGATTATTTACAATTGACAGATCAAGAAGAGAAGAGCATCAGCGTGGTTGGTCATGTCGGAGGAAGTGTGAACATCAGCTGCAAATACCCAAAATCCCACAGCAATGACCCCAAGTTTCTCTGTAGGAGAGTGGACACTGCTGACTGTGGTTATGAAACATCTGTTAAAGAGAGCAGAAGATGGATAAATGAGGGAAAACTGTATCTATATGATGATGGAAAGCAGATCTTCACTGTGATCATCAACAGTCTGACTGAGGGAGACTCTGGTGAATACTGGTGTGGAGCTGAATCAAACTGGACATCTGATCATGGATACAAGGTTTATATTACACAGATCAACCTCAGAGTTCCTGGTGAGTAGATATGATTTAAGTTTATCTTTTTACTGTCAGAAATTTTCTTCTATATGTTTAGGGAGTTTGGAAGTTAGAAGTATACAGCATTATAGTTATTCAGCCTGTTTAATCAGTTGATTGGTCTTCAAAACAACTGAAAACCTGTAGCCAGGTCAGCCACTTGAGGGTAAGACTGGACACCTCTGACATAAGGAGGCTGTGGTAATATTAACAAGTGATTATTGTAGAGGTGAAAGAGGTTTTTGTATGTTATGTAGAACATTATTTGTTCTGTATAAAGAGATTCGGGTTATCTAATGACAATATAAGATGACAAATCTAGAAAAGCTTTTATTTTCCTTTTTACTTCATCTCCATTAACAAAACCAGGAACAGCATCACCCTCAACATCACCATCAAGCCCCACAGCACAGACCATAGAAACAAATGCCTCTACAACAACTACAATGAAATCCTCATTTAAGACTTCAACAGGTACAATATTCATACTGTATATATCCTGTTAAACTGTAGTCAGTCAGTAATAATGTACTCAGATAATAGGGCAGCCTGACTTTTATTTCTTTCTGCAGAAATTCTACCACAGTCATCGACATACATCAGTTCTCTGACCACAAAACCAACCACATCCTCAATGCCTAAAACCATACCGTCCTCTTTGTCAGGTGATTACACTTCATGTACAAGCAAAGAACATCTGCTCTTCTATTGTTAGTCTTATCACTTCAGAATGATCAGATTATAATCTGTGACTGAGTTATGATTCTGTTTCTCCATCACCACTATTTCCAGTTTCCTCTGTGGTCACTGGTGTGTCTGCGATTGTGTTGCTGCTCCTGATTGGACTCTTATTCTTCATAGTCACTCTTAGAAAGAGAGGCAAGACTCAAGGTACCATCTCACACACATTTGGACTATTAATTTCACCATAGAAAATTATCATAGGAAACAATGTTGAGTAAAGATGTGGTGTTGGGCTCATTTATGACAAATTATGACAGTGGCTGGACATGTTATTAGTTTCCTCAAGACACTTCACATGGATTGTTTTAATCTACATGTTCAGATAAATGGATCATTAAACACATTTATTAGGCCCCAGTGGACTAACAGTGATGGACAGATGCTGCCCTCTTCTGGCTATAAATGATCATGCATCAAAAGAAATAGAGCAACAACAACAACATTTTGGGGGCAGTTGTACAGCCTGTTTATCTTTCAAGTTATGAACTTTAATATTGATCTATCAAAAATGGACAAAACTGAGCTAAACTTGATATTGCGGTAGTTTTATGGCTCAGACTGATTTGGTCAGACTCTGAAGATTTGTATGTTGACATAAATGGATCCTTAAACACATTTATTAGGCACGAGTGGACGAACAGAGGTGAAGAGATGCTGCCCTCTTCTGGCTATAAATGAACATGCATCAACAAACTGTGAACGCATTTTCAGGACAATTGTACAGCCTGTTTATCTTTTAAGCAATTGATATTGTATACATTGGTTCTCCTCAGACCCAGGCACAACACAACACCAGTCCTTCAAAGGATACTCAGCTGTCCACAGGGTGAGTGAGGATGTATTTCAAAAAAGGCTCCCAGAAAACAACTTTCTACAACTGACATGCTTAAAAATGAATAATCAAAGACTGAAAAAAGAAACTACCTGACTTCACATCAGTGTAACTGCTCCACCAGGAGTAAAAAGTGTAGTTCACTTCAAAAACACTCTAACATTCCCATTGTTATTGTTTATATCTCTGCTCTTAGGTTTTCCATCTTTTCAATAACTAATGAAGAGATTAAGGACAGTAGACACCTTCCTACATCAGATGCTGGAGTCTTCATGATCTACTCTACTGCTCAACTACCCACAACCCCCACAGGACCTTCTCAAACTGATTATGAAAATATCCAGTTACCCATAAACCCCACAGAACCTTCTCAAACTGATTATGAAAATATCCAGTTACCCCAAAACCCCTCAGAACCTTCTCAAACTGATTATGAAAATGTCCAGTTACCCACAAACTGTGATTTCTCAAATTCTCCTGCTCAGTTACCATCAAACTCTCCTGAACAGGTCACCTGCTCCACAGCTCAGTTACCCACAGTTCTCTCTGATTTCTCAGCAAGTGGCACTCCGCAAACAGCTGGAACATCTACAGAAGGCCCAACATACACAACAGTGAATTTCAGGAAGAAGGTAGGCAGAGCTAGTGATGCTGTTACCAGAGTAGCCTTTAGTAACGATGAGGACTCATGTGAGTATGCTACAGTCAAACGTTAGCAGAAGCAGCTAAGTTTTCAATATAATCTTGTATGTTCATGCATTTCTACCAAAATGAGATACATAAAGGTATATTTTCCTTTCACACAAAGAAATGTTTTCTTCTGGAAGTGTGTAAATTTGTTACTATTTGTTTTGGATAATATTGTATTTGAAAAGTTTTATAAATCATGATTATAGATGACAAATTAATGTTCAGCTTTGTTTGGTATGCTTAAAAATGAGGTTCTGTGAGGTTTGTAATCCGTTTGATGAATACAGTTTTTTTGTGTGTTTTTTGTTTTATGTATATAGTTTAAATATAGTAAATTTAAGTATATTTAATTAAATATAAACATCAACTGCAGTTTAACGTATGCACTCATTATGTATTTTTACATCAAACACAAAGCATATAACTGAATTACTCAGTAAATACAACGAAAGTTCTGTTAATTATGTACAAGACCGATTTTGATTGGACTTGCTTACAGCTCTTTGGAGTTCAAAGGCTTATTAATGTAAATGAATAATTAACCTGTACTGACCTTTAATATGGTTACATTTTCATGCATCAGTTCAAAACCCATTGTAGTCATGAAATGTGAAACATATTCTACATTCCACTGACCTTCTGTACAGTGTGTAATAAAGGCTATTTGTCTTCCTTAAAAGGGTAATTTCACTCAACACTCACCAATCAAATTCACTCTACCAGACGCCCCCCCACCGCCAATCAAATGTAGTATAACAGACTCCTCCACTAACCAATCAGATGTAGTCTATCAGACTCCTATACTCATCAGTCAGATTCAGACTATCTGACTCCTCCAATCACCAATCAGATTCAGACTATCTGACTCCTCCACTTACCAATCAGATGTTGTCTATCTGACTCCTCTACTCACCAATCAGTTTGTCTACCAGATCCCTCCACTTACCAATCAGAATCACTTTACCAGATTACCTCACTTGGCAATCAGATTCAGTCTACAAGATTCTTCCACTAACTAGATTCAGTCTACCAGATCCCTCCACTAACCAATCAGAATCAGTTAACCCGACTCCACCACTCACCAATCAGATTTACTCTACCAGATTCCTGCACTGACCAATCAGATTCAGTCTTTCAGAGTCTGAACACCAGCACAGTTTAATCGTCTGCAGTCAGAAGAATCAAGGCTACCAGGTTAAATAACAGAGTGCATTTTGAATGTAAGGCACCTTTAATCAAAAATGTTAATATTATGCATAATTATGTGTAACAACTAATGCTTCGTGTTTTGCACTGAACAAATTTGTATGCTGTATGTCAATGTTTTATGTCAATGAAGCAAACTAAAGCAAACATGTACTGTGTGACTTAACCCGTCATGAGGTCACAGCAAAAGAACTGAGCATCACAAGCTTCATGAAATGGGATTTCATGATAAAGTAGCTGCACACAAACCCAGGATCACTATGCGCAGTGCCAGCCGTGGGATGGAGTGGAGTAAAGCACACCGCCACTGGACCCTGCAGCAGTGAAAACATGTTCTCTGGTGGGATTAATCACGCTCTCTATCTGGCAGTCTGACGGATGAATCTGGGTTGGCGAATGCCAGGAGAACACTACCTACCGGAATACATAGTGCCAACAGTAAAGTTTGGTGGAGGAGGGATAATGGGATGGGGCTGTTTTTCAGGATTTGCACCCCTTAGTTCCAGTGAAGGTAAATCTTAGTGCTTCTGCTTTTGACTGAATGAGCACAAATTCCCAAAGACACACTCCAACATCTTATAGAAAGCTTTCCAGAATGGTGGAGGCTGTCATAGCCATAAAGCCATAACTTCACAGTAATGGCCATGGTTTTCAAATAGGACGCCCAAAAAACTCATATATGTGTGATTTATTTGTCTCCACATTCCTTTGGCCATATAGCTTATCAAGTAATAATTAGATGCTTAATGTAATTTATCAAAAATATTCATATGAAAAAAGCAAATCAATGACATAACATCATCATTCTCATCTCAGATATGCAGCTTCGAATTTCAGCACCTCCAATTTAAAACTCCTTTCTGCATCTGTGCTTTAAAAAAAGTGACAGCGACATTGTGTTCTAGATGGCAGAAGATTCCTTCGGACACAGACCAGTAAAGAAACAATGACATGAATATGAATATTCAACAGTGGAGTCACACATATTCATTCACTAACAGCTAAACTGGAGTCATCAGAGGACAATTTTACTGACCAAATGCAAAGTGATTCTAATAAGCTTCTTTATGAGAAATAACACTAGACAAAAAGAAGAGATGAGAGTTCAGCTGCAGATGAACATGAACTTCATTATCTCAGCAAATCTGAGCACAATGTGTGACTTTATTGAGATCTCTACTAAAACTCAGTGGGACACGAAAGATTACTGAGGTCTTTTTCTGAGGAGAAACATCTGAGAAGCAGGTGAGACTTATACTTTTGTTTGTTTTTCCATCTAAATTCATTGTTCTGTAGGAGAAAATCCAAGATATTGAGGAGATCTTTTTTTGTTCATATCATATTTGCAAGCAATATAAATCCAATGGACGGACTCATATACAACAGTACAGTTAAACAGTGGTGTAGGTATGGCAAAAGGCTAAACGCTAATGGAAAAAAAACACAAAGCTGCATCAACACTACTCAAAAATACTGTTTACCTTAATGCAGTGAATTTCACTGAAAGCATTTAAAAGCATTTTCTAATAATAAAAACAATAATAGTAATAATAATAATAAAAGTTAGATCATACATATCTTACTGAGATGTTTTCAGCTCTCTGTTTCACGCTGTCAATAAAGGAAGTGGGCAAGACATCAGTTTCTATTTAAGACGCAGCTGAAGATGCAGCACAGTTACATAATTGCACAGAGACAAACAACAACTTGCAGAGCCTCTGATATCTGTCTGAGTTGGTGTTAATCTGTGAGCCTGAACTCACAATGAAGATCCTCCTCATCTTCACCCTCTTCCTGATTTCAGGTAAGGAGATGCTCTTCTAAATAATCATCGTTATCAGCAGAGTCAAATGAAGCCTTTACTCAGATGGACATTTGTCTTCTTTTAGTAGGTGGAGGAGAATCAGAGAGAGTGACAGGATATTCAGGAGGAGGAGTCCTCATCAAGTGTGGATATGAGACACAATACACATCAAACCCAAAATACCTCTGTACGGGTTCATGGCCCTGCCTGACAAATCAAATTTGATCACTATTCATCAAGTGGATGAATAGAGGAAGATTCTCACTGTTTAATGACACCAGAGCTGCACAGTTCTGGGTGTTGATCAGAGAGCTCACTGTAGAGGATTCTGGAATGTACAAATGTGCAGTTGATAAATTTGGCATTGACATCTACACACCAGTGGAACTGAATGTAGAGGAAGGTGAGTCTCTCCCACCACTGCATTTGTTTATTACCCTAAATTTACAACATCAAATAGCCTCAGCTACAGTGAGAATTAAGGCAGAAACCTACACCAGCTCATTTTAACACTGTTATCACAGACTCTGTCTCTTCAGATACTTTTCATCAGACTTTCTTATCTCTGATGAATCCTGCTTAAACCCAACTGCGAAAATGTGTTTACATACAGTAGTTGTTCACATGTGATGATGACTGTGTGATTATCAGATTGTGTTTATAGTTCTTGCCATTTGTTAAATGTACATTGTGAGACCTTCACTATGATGTTAGCAGATCTCATCTCAGTTATTTACACTGTTTCTATCAAATCTGAATATGGACATCTTCTGCATTCAGAGTTAAGCTGTAGTGTGACTATCGACAAACTTCCTGACTCAACATCCTTTTATTGATAAACATAATCTGAAAATACTTTCAGAAGAAGAGTGTGGCCTATAGGGAACTGACAGAATATGGAGTAATGAGTCATAATCAAGTCCATAAATAAGGACTAGTAAAACTCAAATATACCTGTAAAGTCATAACAAATCAGTAGTATTTTGTATACATCATGTAGGTGAGTGTAAGTGTTTTCATCTGATTTTTTATGATTGACAGATCTGTCATTCAAGAAGAGCATCAGTGAGATTGGTCATGTAGGAGAAGGTGTGAACATCAGCTGCACATACCCACAATCCCACAGCAGTGACCCCAAGTTTCTCTGTAGGAGAGTGGGCACTGTTAGCTGTAGTTATAAAACATTAGTTAAAGAGAGCAGAAGATGGATAAATGAGGGAAAACTGTATCTACATGATGACAGATCAAAGCAGATCTTCACTGTGATCATCAACAGTCTGACTGAGGGAGACTCTGGTGAATACTGGTGTGGAGCTGAATCAGACTGGACATCTGATCATGGATACAAGGTTTATATTACACAGATCAACCTCAGAGTTACTGGTGAGTAGATATGGTTTTACATTCATACTTTCAAACCACTCCATCTACAACCCCATTTCCAAAAAAATTGGAATGTTGTGAAAAATGTCAATAAAAACAAAATCCAACGGTGTGCAAATCATTAAAACCCCATATTTAATTGAAAATGCTTCAAAGACAACATAATAAATGTTGAAACTAAAAAATTTTATTTTTAAAAAAAAAAAATTTGGCCATTTTGAATTTGATGACAGCAACAAAAGGCTGGTAAAGTTGTCTAATGCTGAAAAAACACCTGGTGGTTGATTGGCAACAGGTCAGTAACATGATTAGGTATACAAAAAAAAAAAGCATCTCAGAGAGGCTAAGTCTTTCAGAAGTAAAAATGAGGAGGGGTTCACCAGTCTGTGAAGGATTGCAGAATCAAATATTGCAACAATTCAAGAGTAAAGTTTCTCAACATAAAATAGCAAAGAACTTTTGCTTTTCATCATCTACAACACATAACAACATTAAACGATTCAGAGAATCTGGAGAAATATCTGTATACAAGGAACAAGGCCAAGAACCAGTATTTGCTGGCCATGATCTTTGGGCCTTCAGATTGCACTGCATTAAAAACAGACATTATTCTGTAGTGGAAATCACTGCATGGGCTCAGAAACACTTCTGAAAACCACTGTCTGTGAAAACAGTTTGTCGCTGCATCCACAAATGCAAGTTAAAACTCTAAAACACAAAGGAGAAACCATATATAAACAGGATCCAGAAACACTGCCACTTTCTCTGGGCCTGAGCTCATTTAAAATGGATTGAGGGGAAGTGGAAAAGTGTCCTGTGGTCCAACAAATCAACATTTGAATTTCTTTTTGGAAATCGTGGACACTGTGTCCTCTGGGCTAAAGACCACTCAGCTTGGTATCAATGCACAGTTCAAAAGCCAGCATTCATGATGGTATAGGGGGGCATTAGTGCACATGGCATGGCTGACAAGCATATGTGTGTACCCCGAAGTGTTGAGCAGCTGAAATCCTATATTAAATAAGAATGGAAAACATTTCATGTTCAAAACTACAGCAGTGTCTCCTAAGTTCTCTCACGCTTACAGAGTGTTGTTAAAAGAAGAGGTGGTGAAGCACAGAGGTAAACATGCCCCCTTCTCAACTTTTTTGGAACATGTTGTTGGCATCAAATTCAAAATGAGCACATATTTTTCAAAAAACAATAAAATTCCTCAGTTTCAATATTTGATTTGTTGTCTTTGTACTACTTTCAATGAAATATAGGGTTCAAATAATTTGTACGTAATTTTGTTTTTACTTTTATTTTGCACAGTATCCCAAACTTTTTGGAAATGGTGTTGTATATATTTTGCAGCCTAGAGACAAGACGTGTACAGTATTATACTTAAAGATTGAACTGTAGGTAACCTGTAATCTGGAGTCTAATATCAAAATCGGTGTAATGAAAGAGGTTTTATTCAAAATCTGAGGCTGAAATATTTTCCATGTATCGTCACACATAAAAATGATGGTTATGAATGTGAAAGAGGTTATAATTTATCGTAAATTCTATAAAACCAATATATGAAATGACATCTGAAAAGGCTTTTTTTCTTTTTTCTTCATCTCTATGAACAAAACAACCAGCAACATCACCATCAAACTCAACTCCACAGATCACAGAAAGAACCTTCTCTTCATCTACATCTACAGTGAATTCCCCACTTAAGACTTCAGCAGGTATAAAATTCTGACTGTATATATCCTGGTAAACTGTAGTCAGTCAGCAATGATGGCATCTACACAGACAATTATTGACAAACTGATGTTTGTTTGTTTTTTTAGATATTCTAAAACAGAAATCAGCAAACATCAGTTCAGTAACCACAAAACTAACTGCATCCTCCACTTCTAAAACCACGTTATCTTCATTATCTATTACAAGTGATTACACTGCATGTACAGTACACGCAAATAACTTCTGCTCATATGTTATTAGTTTGATCTCTTCTGTATCTGATTATTGCTGTGACTGAGTCTGTATTTATGATTCAGAGTTTCCAGTTTCTTCTGTGATCACTGTTGCGTCTGTGATTCTGCTGCTGCTTCTGATTGGACTCCTATTCTTCAAAGTCACTCTAAAAAAAAGAAGCAAGGCTCAAGGCACACACAGAAACACACATATACACAAAATGGGTAACTTATTTCTGCAGATAATATTGTTTGGGCTATTCATTTCTTCATAGAAAATTTTTGCACACTGTGAGAAAAAGGTACACTGTTCATTTATCAAGGTACAAACAGTGTAAATGTGCCCTCAAAGGTACAACAATGGTTTAAGGTCCAACTGGGTACCTTAAACTGTGTGGCGTCAAAACAAAATAACAATTATGGTTTAATGTTCCCTAACTAAAGGCACTGAAATGTAGCTTTAATGGTACCACCTCAGTGACAGTTCAGTATCTGTTTTTAGGAGAATGTAGAAACCATTGTTTGGTAAAGATAGTTTCACTCATGTAGTGTTGAGCTAATCTATGACCAATTCCATACAGTCACTGAACAAATTGTTGATTTCCCCAACACTTTTTACAAAAATTTATTTATTTTTTTTAATATCTGTATGTTCAGATATGAGTGCAGCATGGGTCATTCATTAGAAGTCAATAAAATTTCACAAGGCCTCAGTGGACAAACAGACTAACAGTGATGGACAGATGCTGCCCTCTGGTGGCTATAAATGAACATACATCAAAACAAATAGAGTAAGAACGGACTGTGACCACATTCTCATATCAAATCTACATCCTGTTTATTTTCCACAAAATGTATAATATTTATATATCATATAACATCCAAATCGATTCTTATTTCATAACTGACTGAATGTTCTGGAATTGTTTCTCCTCAGTTCCAGCCTCAACCCAAAGCCAATCACTCAGAGGCTCCACCAATGACCACAGAGTGAGTCAAAACTGTATTTTAGTGCAGGTTCTCACTGGAACAAGATTCCACCAATGATAATAATGAATCCTCAATAACTGGAAAATTGATCTACCTCACTTGCACATTGGGAAAACTAAATATTGGTTTAAGTGCACCAAAAGGAGTAAAATAGTTGAGTTCACTTTAAATACACTTGACTTGTTATCATTTTCATTAATAATCTTTACCTGTATTTTTATTATAGGTTTCTCTATGTGACTCTGAGGAGGTTAAAGACATTTCAACCTCAGATGCTGGAGTTTCCACAGTCTACTCTACTGCTCAGCCACCTACAAACCCCTCAGAACCTTCTCAAACTGTTGATGATGATGTGCAGTTAACCTCAAGCAGTGATTTCTCAAATTCCATTTATTCCGCAGCTCAGTTACCATCAAACTCTCCTGATCAGGACATCTACTCCACAGCTCAGTTACACACAATTCTCTCTGATTCCTTGGCAAGTGCCACTCAGCATTCAGCTGGAAAATCTGCTGAAGGTCCAACATACGCAACCGTGAATTTCAGGCAGAATGCAGATAGTTCTACTGATGCTGTTACCACAGCAACCATCAACAAGGAGAACGACTCATGTGACTATGCTACAGTCAAATGTTAGCAAAGTTAGCACGGCACCAAAACAAGATGGTATGTTTACTTTGACACAAAGAAAGATTTACTTCTGTAAGTGTGTAAATGTGTTACTATTTGTTCTGGTTTATCCTTTTTGTGAACTGATTCAAAATTCATCTATATAGATGAGAAATGAACTTTCAGCTTTGTTTGGTGTGATTATTAATATGTTTATCTGAGCTCCACAATCTGTTCAATAAATGCAATTGTTTTGAGGGTTTTTGTTTTTATATGTATGTGATGTCAGTTTTCGTAACTGTAGTTTTATTCCTACACATTTCATGAAAGTACTTCTGATGAAAACTGTTTCATGGGTTCATTGTCTTCTCATTTAAATGCTGTAAGACTATGGCCAAAAATATATGGACACTTGACCAGAGTCTAGTCATGACTTGCTTTACACCACTTCAGCTGACCCTTGGCATTGAGCATAGTGATCATAGGCAGATCTCGCAGGGCAAAACTTTAAACTGACTAGTAACAAAGGTGGCATATTTAAGGTCCCTGACCTCTTCAATATGACTCATTCTACTGCCAAGGTTTGTGTATGTAGATTGCATGGCTATGTGCCTGATTTTATACACTTGTTAGCAATAGCTGTGGCTGAAACATAAATACTCACTGAACACAGCTCCACTTACTATATAGGTGCACTTTGTAGTTCTACAATTACAGACTGTAGTACATCTGTTTCTCTGCATACTTTGTTAGCCCCCTTTTACCCTGTTCTTCAGTGGTCAGGACCCCCACAGAACAGGCATTATTTGGACAGTGGATCATGGTAGTGTGATATTGTGTGTTGTGCTGGTGCAAGTGGATCAGACACAGCAGTGCTGCTGGAGTTTTTACACACCTCAGTGTTACTGCTGGACTGACCAGCACCAACTGTGCAGCAGCAGATGAGCTATCGATGTAAAGTCTTACATCCACAAGGTGGACCAACAAGGTAGGAGTGTCTAATAATGTGGACAGTGAGTGGACACAGTGTTTAAAACATGTTTAAAAAATATTAAAAGAACATATGCTGTTCACAACCAAGGTTTTATTCAGTTGTGTATAGAAATCAGTGGACAATAGGAATCAATGAATGATTTAGTTTCCACCTTTATCCTCTAGATGGCAGTACAATCTTAAAAATAAAGGCACCAGTGCCATGGTGTAAAAAGAGCCTTTAAATGATGTTTTTTCAAAGAACCATTTAAGTGTCCAAGTGTGAAAAAACATTCTTTATACTTTCAGAACTTCCACATCTAAAAATACATGAAAAATATATAATTCTGAGCTTATTAAAGTTTTTCTTAGAACAATATGTTTAAGCTGCGATTCCTGTAGGAACCATTATTTTTTAAAAGTGTAGAAACATCTCAGCTCAGACATTCTCACAAATGAGGATAAAACAGTAGTGTTACCAACACTAATACATACAAATAATACATTAAGTGATATAAAATGAGATGGAAGCACATGAGCACTATTGAATGTGTGCAAATACAGACAGTCGTATGTGTGCACTGACATTTTTTTTTTTTGCGCTTCTGAAATATATCTTTTGTTTCTGACTTGTACTTGCCAACTGCACTTTTTAACAGGGCGGGTCTTAGAAGAGGGCACTCACCTGCACTCTCTATTGGTCAACTGATTTGGAGTGACAGGTCTTCTGAACACTCAGCGCGAACTGCCCACAGCAAGGCAGAACATGTACCGAGCACTGCCATGAGTGCAGCATTGTACTGTCAAATCCAACATTCTCAGCAATGTTTCTCATATACCTTTATAGTTACTAATGTAACATAGGTTTATGGGTCATTTGTCAATCAATATTACTGCTATTTTGGGCACTGAAGAACTTAAACTCAGTTCTTTATGATTGAATGAAACTGTACCATCTTTTGAGTTTGCAGAAGCTAGTGCTAGCTAGCCAGCCATACTGGTAATGGAACTAAACTGCTTAAATGTCTAAACTTAGTTTAGTTTTATTATTTAGAGGTATTGATCTTTAATCTGATCATTATTAGATACAGGCAAATCATTACTTTTGCTTCACTAATGTCTTTAAAAACTGTTCTTGTAGCATCAAATCTAAAATGATGTCACAGTGTCCTGTTCCTGCTTCACCACTCAGGTTTGACCCACTCAGCTTCTGTCACAAAAGGAGGCATCAAGGCAGGAAGGGCAGGAGTGTTTATTGAGGTTGTTCATGCACTAATATCTCACATTCCGGTGTATAGGAGAATTTATCGCGGCTGGTTATGGGTGAATATCTCTATTCTACTGTACTGGAGTGCTGTATAGGCAGTGGGAGATGGCAGGGAGTCCCTTGGCGGCATAGATCCCTGCGGCAGAAACTGCCCCATGGTATGTTCAATGTAACCTCGCTGGGATGAAGGAGACAAAGCTTGTGTGGGAGGTTGAGAGGTACCAACTAGATAGAGTTGGGCTCACCTCCACACGCAGTGTCAGCTCTGGAACCAAATCCTTGGTAGGGGTTGGACCCCCTCCTACTCAAGAGTTGCACAAGGTGAGAGGTGCCAGGTGGGTGTGGGGACACTCACGAGTCTCCAGCTGGCTGCCGTGCAGTTGGAGTTTGTACCGGTGGATGAGAGGGTTGCCTGCAAATTAAAATCGCAGAGAGGAAAACTCTGACTGTTGAGTGTGCTTATGCACCTGGAAAGGGCCCTGTCTACAGACTCCATAGTCTTGCTGGGAGGCTTCAATGCTCATGTTGGCAGTGACTGGGAGACCTGGAGGAGGGTGCGTGGGAAGAACGGCCTGCCTGATCTAAACTCGAATGGTGAATTGCTATTGGATTTATACGAACACAAGGACATTCATAAGTGTACATGGTACCAGAGCTCCTTGGATCAAAGGGCAAGGCCACAGAAAAAAACTTTCAACTGGCTTCAAGGAGGTTCTGGACAATTATCCTGTGACTAAGGAGCGGTCGGGGTGGCTTTGCCCGAGGTGTACTTGGAAGGGCCGGAGAAACTCTGACTTCAAATGAGGATGTTGTTGGTCGGTGGAAGGAGCACTTTAAGGAACTTCTAAATCTGAGAGATATGCCGCCCTCACAGGAGTCAGGGAGAGAGGCTTCTGGTTTGCCAGACTCCATTTCCCTGGTGGAGGTCACTGAGGTAGTTGGCAAGCTCCTCAGTGGCCGGGGTGTCACACTGCTCACCCTCCCTGGGAAGGTTTATGCCAAGGGGCTAGAAAGGAGACTCCGACCAGTAGTTGAACTTTGGATTGAGGAAAAACAATGCAAATTTCCTTCCTGGCCGTGGAACAGTGGACCAGGTTTCCACCCTCATGCAGAATGTTGAGGGGGCATAGGAGTTTCCCAACCCAATCTACATGTGCTTTGTGGAATTGGAGAAGACTTCATTCAACATTATTCCCCGAGATATTCTGTGGAAGGTCCTCCAGGATTATGGGGTGTCGGGACCACTACTCCAGGCCATTTGGTCTCTGTACTCCTGGAGTGAGAATTGTGTCCGTATACTCAGGATTAACTCAAGCTCATTCAGTGTGAGTGTTGGACTCCATCAAGGTTGTGCCTTGTCTCCACTCCCATTCGTGATATTCATAGACAGGGTATAAAGGCATTGTCGAGGTAAGGAGGGCATTATGTGCGAAGGCTCCTCCACATTGAGAGGAGAAAGTTGAGGTGATTTGGGCATCTGATCAGGATGCCCCATGGCCACCTCCTATCGGGGTTGACCAGGCCTGGCCTACTAGGACGAGGCCCAAGGTCATCCTAACATGCAGTGGCAGGAGTATATCTCCAGTTTGGCCTAGGAGCCACTTGGGTTCCCTTGGAATGAACTGGAGGAAGTTACGGGTCATCTGGGATTCTCTGCTCTCCCAGCCACTACCACAAACCTAGCTGGACTAAGCCATTAAAGATGATGAATGATGAATTTCTGAACTAATATCTCTTTTCTTGTGGAAAGATGTATGTGAATGACTTACAGGCTGCAGAAATGTTGCAGATAGCTTACATATAACTATAATTTTTAAACATAATCAAGAAACTGTTTATTAATGTTTACAAAGTCATTTGGAGGCCTAAAGTTTTTAGAATTCTTTTCATTGGGTTTACACCAAAAGACTCTGTAAAGACTCTTTAGCAGTCAGGAATATTAGTATTTTTAAAGATGTCTTCTGTAAACACAAACACAAATATTGTCCAATATTAAATAACATCTGAATTTCTGTTTTTGCCATCATTACTTAATTCTAAATAAATAAATAGAAAGAAGTAGACATATATTAACAAATGTTGACTGTTACTTTATAAACTAATAATGAATAATTTGGATTTATGAAGCAATACCTTGTATGTCTGTTTTAAAAAAATTATAATTGAACAAATCTTCTTACCTGATTATTTCTTTATTGGTTAATTACTAAGAACTAATCATAAAATAAAAAAATGTGAAAATATAAAACGAAAATGATTCAATTTTCTTACCTGATTAATTCCTTATTGCTTAACACTAAGTAAGAACTAATAGATGTCTTATAAAATATTGGTATTGTTATTATTATATCACATTTGGATTACGTAAACATCGTGACCCAGAAGATAAGCAGCTTAGAAAGTGTGTGTGTGTATTACACAGTGAACACAGCAAAGATTGCTCAGTGCTGCTGCTACACACATTGTGGTCTAGATGGCAGTAGAGTATTTCTGACACAGACCAGCACAGAATCAATGACATGAACATGAATATTCAACAGTGCATTCATACATATTTATTTACTGACAGTCTAAACCAGAAGTCAATTCTGGTGCTGAAATTCTCTCAAAGTAGTTCTGTAGTCAGTGCTGCTACTCTGAGAGGCTTTGTGAATATGTGCTTTGATCTCAATGTTGTCCTGGAGAAACTACAGAGATATTAAGGAGATCAGTCTTTTGACTTTTCTTTCTGATGAGTACTTTCAAATACAGTGACTGAAATGTATTACACAGGGTGTAACCTTCAATAT